AAAGTTGTGTTGATTTGTTTACAAAAATAATCCCTGCAGTTGTATCTCAAGGAGTCTTGGATTGATCCAGACGACACTGCACATCAGCAGAATACCATACTCACAAGTAAAGCATGGTGGTGGCAGCATTATGCTTTGGAGCTTTTTTTCTTCAGCTAGAACTGGGGCTTTTGTCAGGGAAGAGAAACTTGGGAACAGTTCCAAATATCAGCCAATTTTGGCACAAAACCTTCAGCCCTCTGCTAAAAAGATGAAGAGGAATTTCACCTTTCAGTAAGATAACGACCCAAAACATACCTCCAAACCAACAAAAGAATGGCTTCCCCAAAAGAAAATCAAAGTTTTGGAATGGCCCAGCCAGAGCACGGACCTGAATCCAATTGAAAATCTGTGGTAGTGACCTGAAGAGGGCTGTGCCTGTGCAATTTCACAGATTTGCAGCGCTTTGCAAGGAAGAGTTGGCAAAGATTCCCAAGGCAAGAGGTTCCAAGCTGATAAGACTCCTCCCCCGAAAGAATGTGTCAAAATCAAAAAGCACTTACGTTTTAGTTTAAGGATGTGCATATTTATGCAACCAAGTTATTGTAAGCTTTTACATTTTTTCCCCCTTTAAAGATTTCAGTTCATCTTTGAATTGCAGATTATGTGTCACATTAAAAGGTGCAATTTGCAAGGGTTTGGAATTTTCCATTTTGTCTACATGTCTTTTACCTTCTTTCTTGCCCTTTTATCTGTAAGTAAAAAAATGAAAAAACAGTACATATGGGAGCTTTGTTTTGCGGGGTTAACCATTTTATGTTTGAGATTGATTTTACATGTTTTCCCATTTTTGGTGATTCGATATTATAGTCCTGCTTTAAAGTTATTTACTTGAAATGTTGGAGAATAATCAGAATATTCACATTGTCACTTTTTTTGATCAGCAGAAGGAACCAGTGAGCGCTGCTGGGACAAAGGTGAATAAAGGGGATCGGGTAGGAGGAAAGTAATTATTGACTTGCTTCTTTTGCAGGCATGCCCGCATCTCTTTTTTTTAATAAGGTCACTTAAGGCTGGGTGCATACTGCTGAACACATTGGGGGGAATTTATCAAAACTGGAGCAGACAGAAACTGGAGCAGTTGCCCATGGCAACCAATCAGCATCAGTTTGCTCAGTTGGGATTTCAAAATGAGCAATAGAAGCTGATTCGTTGCAGTGCAAATCTGCTCCAGATTTTGTCTGCTCCAGTTTTAATAAACTCCCCTCATTGTGTTAAGGCAGCACTTTCATTTGATACCAATTCAACCAAAACAGGTCTAAGCACTATTTTTGTCATTACAAATTTACAGTATTGCATTGGCAAGGTGTGTTGATGATCCATTCAGAATGGTATCAAGTGTTCCCACAGTGCAGTGGTGTGAACAAGGCCTTAATGCTCTGCAATTTCATTAGAGGTTGAAAAGCCATGGCACTTATATTTTTATTCCGTTAAACAAGCACGTGGAGGAATTGGTTTACACTGCGAATACAAAGCAGTCATTAGCACAATGATGTGTGTCACAAAGGGACAAGAAAAAAAAGGGTAAGGTGAGCAGAGTCTCCAATGGAAAGGTGGGGCGTTAAGATCCTGGGGTCCACTATGGTATAGGATGTATGTTGGTAACCTTTTATTTCAACTTTCAGTGGTTTAAAGGGATATTAAAAAGTCAAAATATTTGTGGCTTAAATCACAAAACGGATGCTGCTCCTTGATGTTCAAAGGTTTTAGATTCCTGCAGAATCAGCTGGTCTCCTGAATGGCCTGATATCCTATTTTAGGGTGGCTATTTTCCCTTGGAGGGTCCTATGAAGCCACCCTTGTGTGTTAGTAAGCTGTTTCTCCACGAACAGCACAGAAAGCCAGTCCCCTAGCTAGTAGATGAACAGCCACTGGAGATTGCTCTGCCCCTTGTGAGCTTGAACTGGAAAAGGAAGTCCAGGGAAGTTGAGCTGAGAGTTGAAGCCAGCTGTTTGACTAAGTGTTTGGGCACAAATATGAAGAGATACTTTGCTGGGCAATTTATATTTGTTCAATCTGGATTTAATGCAAGTTTGAGAGTTTAACACTAAGAATACTGCATCTGATAGGTTGAAACAAAACAATTTTTTTCTTTTTAAAGCCTGGCTGTTCCAACCATTTGAGAGGTGGAAAAATTAAACCCTGCCCAGTAAAAATGTATTCAAGTTAAAATAGTATCACTAAAATGTTAGTTAAATTCTTGAAGGGACCAAGTGCATTTTATCCCAGAGCACAAAATTCAAAATATTAAAGTGACATTACACCCTCAGATTTTTTAACATAAACCAATACTGTAATGTGTGCCTTACTGACTTTAACATTCACTTATAAAGCCATCCACAACTCTGCCCCCGGATATATCTCCAACCTAGTCTCAAAGTATCACCCTAACCGTCCACTCTTCGAGACTTCTTGCTTTCCAGCTCCCTTGTAAACTCCTCCCATACTCGCTTCCAGGACTTCTCTAGAGTCTCCCCCATCCTCTGGAAGTCTTTACCCCAACCTGTCCGTCTATCTCCCACCTTGACTGCCTTTAGGCGATCCCTAAAGACTCATCCCTTCAGGGAAGCCTATCCCACCTCAACCTAACCACTGAACCGTCACTTTCTCAAACAATTCCTCGCCACATAGCTACCTCCTCATGTATCACTTCCCCCTCCCTTTTAGATTGTAAGCCCCCAGGGGCAGGGCCCTTCTTACCATCTTGTCTTGAGATTGTAATGTCTTCCTTATATTGTAAAGCGCTGCGCAAACTGTTGGCATTATATAAATACTATGTAATAATAATCAAGTGCATGTAGGTTTCACAAAACTCCGCCCCACCTCTGCCAAGCAGACCTGAAGGGGAGCTTATGATACAGAGCTGATTGAGTATGAATAGTCTGTATAACTTTCTCCAGGGCACGTCCAGGAAACCAAAAACTGAGAAAAGTATACCAACTATACTGTCTTAGTCAGCGCCAGCAGGGCTGTGTGGTCAGCCTCAGCATTGCCTGGATGCACTTTGGGGAAGTTATAAAAACTATTCTGCCACAGTAGAGGAGAGTCATATGAAATCAGCACAGGAGGGGGTGGTGGCTACAGTGCAGCCTGTACCTTCCACAAAGCCCAAAATTGGGCCTTTGCCTGTGGTGAAGCTACAGCAAGCACAGACAGAATAAGAAAAAAAAAAAAAAAAAGGGGTTTTCACACAAAACTGAGTTACTAACCAAACGGGACCAAGTGCTACAAGCACTTGGTTCCTTGGGGTATTCAACTCAAGTTTTTAGAAGGTAGTGACTATTCTTTAATTTGTGAGCACAGCTTCAGAAATGTGTTTTTGCTGTGCGAAATAAAAAAAATAAAAAACTTTCAACAAAAAGACAACTGGCTTTACAGATTTATTTTTTGCATAGCAAAATGTTGACATCCAGTGGTTCAGGAAGTCAAGCACTGATGTGAATGTACATTATGTAAAGTGCTGTTAAACTGATGGCGCTAAATACCGGCAATAAAAAAAAAACAAACAAAACTAGCTCTTTTCCCTTCAACTTTTTGTTTATTGATGTACTAAACATGAAAAATACAAATGATTTAAACACAAAATAAAAAAAACACATACTGCCTGTTAAATACTCAACAGAATATACAGTATATTTTAACAAATGTGTTAATAAAGTCATACAGTACAAGAGTTCAAATAAACACCAGCCTCACATTTTTATCAAGTGCTCATAGAAACACTGCAAAGTGAGGCACAATTTTCATGCTGTTTTCACAATGCCTGCTATATTAGTGTTTAGTATAATTGTAACAGTATTTCCAATACTGCAAAAATATTATATATTTATATGTGTATATAAATGTCCCATAAATATGTTTTCCCCCAAAGCAGCTTTAAGAAACATTAAATACTGTAGTCAACAGAGGTAAAAAAAACAAAAAAAACAACATTTCTTTGAGGAACAAAAAAAAAAAGCATGAAAATTTGCCTGAACACTTTGACACACTTTGCACAGTAAATGTACTGGACTATCATAAAATATATGTAAATACAGAATAAACCAAAAGATAATTAAATTTTTAATGCATAGCAAACATTGCTTTGCCCATAAAGAAAACATCTGAATTTGGGAAGGAGGGGGAAAAAATCCTGCTTCCATTGATTCTGGAAGGCATAACAAAAAAAAAAACAAAAAAACTTTTTACCCTCGCATCTAGTTATTACTTAACTGTTTATACTCAAATTATCCAAAACCAAATTAATTTAGGGATAAATGTAAAGGAGAAAAAAAAAAACAAACAAAAAAAAACATTTATGCCAGAGATAAAACTGAAAACACTAACACTTTATACCACAGATTTTCATAAAATAAAACTGGCAATGCCAGTTTAAACTTGTGGTGGGGGAAGGAAATCAAACTTTTTGTTACCAACATAAAATATGTAGATTACAGGTAACTTATATAGTTACATAAAACTAAAATCTGTACACAATTTATGAAAATTATATATTAGCATAAGAAAGCAAGCATAATGCTTCATAAACTTAAAGCAAGCCATACAAAATGGCGGAATGAAAAAGTTCAGGATGGTGAACACAACCACAGCAAGCCTCTAGTGAGTTGCAGTCACCATCATGACTTATCTGATTTTAAATTTTATGTTCATATTTACAACACAAAAGCTCAGGTGCCAGTTTAAACAAAATTACGTTAATTGACAAAATTGTGCCACTTTGCAGGTTGGCAGTGCCACCAAATGTGCAACTTCTTTCCTTACATAAAAGTATTAAATTGTACAAATAAAACAAAATTAACTCTTCTAACAAGACTACAAGTACATCACTAAACACCATGAGCTCCATCTGAAGGGAATACTTTAGGAAGAACAGATTTCTTTCCACCCAAACCTTTCCCCAATTTAATTATCTCTGCTAGCTCATATATATATATATATGTATATCTATATATACTTTAATTTTTGTCTCATTTTGTCTTAAAATGAGAAATTAATGTGAGCAATTTCAGGATAACCAGGACAGAGACTGAATAAAACACCCAGTCCTGCTAATTTCATACAAATACATTAACAAAAACCCAAAGGAATTAAATGAAAATCTCATCTTTTCTATTAGTAACTTTCATTCTCTCCCATCTTTAGTATCCCTTTCTTCCAAAAATAATGATCACACAAACATCCTGGTAAGTTTTAAAAGCTCACAAGGTTGTCATATGAAGTAGATTTTGCAAAGTATTCAAGTCAAAATAGTTTGTTCCAGGACCAGTAAAAAGTTTGTTCAAATTTTTTTATTTTCATTTTTTATAAAAATAGATGCTTTTTTGTCATTTGAAACCCACATCAAAGAGGTTCTTATCTCTTTGGCAAGGTACTACTTTATGAAAAGTCTCCAGTAATCTTACAATAGGCGTTATAACTGAGGCTGCTCTTGCCTCTAAACATAAGTTACAACATAAATATAGGTTTGTTTCTTAAAAATAAAACAAACCCAAACCAAATCTAAAATAAAGTTCATAAACAAATGAATAGCATTAAAGGCGTACATAAAAAAACAAAAACAAACACCTTCTCTAACATACACCTAAAGGCAGAATAAAACAAAACATGTACTTTCTTCTCATTGCAGAAACATTTTAAAAGACTTCATAACCTCAAGGCTTTAGAATGCAATGAGACAGGTAAAAAACCCTGTTACCTAGCGTCCATATTCAAACATAAAAAATAAGATATTCAAAGACCAATAACAAATACATGTCCTAAAGTTACCAAACCACGCTTTGACTTACCTCACCCCATTCCCACACACACACACTGCTTATAAGAGCTGTTATCAAAGTGTAAAGTTTCTAAACTTGCTTTTGACATTTGTGTGTCATCAGGAGTGAGGTTACCTTCTTAAGCTTTGTGCGTTTTACTTGTTTTGAAAGACACCTGCAAAACTCTGTCACCCAAGCGGTACCCGTTAAGGCTGGCAATAGCCATTGCTGCCTCATCATAGTTTGTCATAGTCACAAACCCAAAGCCTTTGCACTTGTTTGTGTTGAAGTCACGGATGACCTTAACATTGGTGACCGCTCCAAAAGGGCCAAACATCTGCCACAGAATACTTTCATCTGCGTCGGGTGCCAGGTTGTATACAAATATACACCATCCAGTGCCAGCATGCCCAGGAAAGTTTATTCCAGCCAAACTTGTCATACCATCAATGGTCATAGGCGAAAACCTACTAGAAATGTGAAAGAAAAAAGGTTAGCCAATGCTTCTAATCTGTGTGATAGAAAACATGCAATTACCAAAAAAATATTTTACAACAATGCTAAAGACCACAGTTATTTGCAGATAGCCACAACACTATATCAGAAACTCAACAAAAAGTAATTTCAGAAAAAACCCCCCAAAAAAACACATGAATGTGGGCTAGCTTACATCTACAGTATGTGCATTTAATGAACACCTTTCTCTATAACTAAATTCATTTCTATGTGCCCCTGAAATGCACATTACTGCAGAAAAATGGCGCAGTTGGTATGTCACTAAATAACAGAAGGGAAATTATACGAACAACCTAAAGAAAACAAGTCACAGTCATAAGCATGTCAGGAAAAAAAAAGTTCCATCTTTGAGAGACTAGATACACCAGAACCTCACTGGATTATGTGATATCAGATTATGCTTGAAAACAGTGAGCCAATTTATTGAAAATTCTAAATCCACCAAAAACTGATTGTCTTTGTTTATGTTGAAGAGATAAAATACCTAAATATGTATCTCTGGTCAGTGACATCCCCATTTTCAAATGTATTTTTATTGCACATTATGGAGACTATAAAAGGGGGTGGGGTCCTGGACATGAAATGTAGGTGGAAGCACCTACAAACCTTATGAGGACAGAAAAAAGACAGGAATTGTGTTGGGTTATTCAAGACACAAGCAGTGGGCTGACTCAGCCTACAGAAAAAAAAAGAACACCTGTTAAAGAGACCCTTTCACAACCTATTAACCTGACAAGTAAACCATCAATCTTGCAGTAGGCCCTGCCTACTGTACAAATTTGAAATTTCAAATCAGCCCAGCAATTAAAGAAATTCAGCTTATTGAAGAGATGGTCACTGAAAGCCACTTTTAAAGAGGTATCGACAGCAGGCTTTTTATGCAGAAGGTTTAGTTGCCGATCTTTCACTACAGCAGAAACTCTGCTTTGACATGGGGAGATAGGTAAGGAAGCCTCATGAACTGACACTCCCCAGAGGTTTCCATTTTCTTCCTGAATTTTGGGGCTGATAACACTGCTTGAAAGTTAAAATACCGCAGCAGACAGGTGACTAGAAGTATACTTTATACAGATTGCTTGTGTTTAGTTGTGAGCCCAGAATGGTGAAATGGGGAGTGATTTACTAAAGGCAAACAGGCTATTCACTTTGCAAGAGAATTTGCACTTTGCAGGAGAAGTTTCCCTTCGCTTAGTAAATGTGGAGAAATGTCGCTTTGTAAAGAATACCCAATCATGTGCAAGAAAAAAAAAAGCTTTTTTCCTTTAACATGATTGGGTGACGATAGGCAGAAGTGCTGCCCCTCATTCACTAAACTAAGGGCAAACTTCCCCTGCTAAGCGCAAATCCCCTTAGGAGTCAAAAGCCTATTTGCCTTAAGTGATTCAACCCTATGTTCCTTAAAGAGCTTATTTTTTTTGTTTGCATTAACTATTTAAAAAATATAAACTGCAATGCACAGGTAGAAAGAAAAAGACTGAATGCATTATACATAAGCTTGTAAAATAGGCATAACCACTCCCCTGATTTAAAACTAATCTAAGCGACAGGTTGGAGAACTAAGTGTACCCCAATCCAAGCTGAAACTAGAGTTGTATGGACATTGTTCCAATAACATTCTTTATGTCAAAGTATTCAGTGCTCTCTAAATCCAGGAAAAATACAGCACAGAAAAAATCAATGCCCCCTCTGCAAATACTCAGAAAATGCCAACCACATTAGTGAAAAAATGTGACAGAGGAAACCAAAACAGAAAAAAAGGTGCACTTTAATATCAAAAATATGATGTAAAAAGATTGTTACCTTATCAAATTTGTATTACAATGCAGGTGCTTGATTTTTTCAATAAACTGTCTCATGATATATGCAGAGCTTATCTTATCTGATTTTTGTTTATGTAAATAATTTTCATGGTGTAAATGGTGTTTAAATTAGAAAGCCATAGCAAAGAAAATGGTACAACCATTTTCATACTGGTCTAAATGTTTCACTGTTTGAGGTGCACATTTTTATAAAACATTCCTTTTGTTTAGCAGTGTGCAACAATTAAACTGTATGAACTTGAACAGTGTTTAAAAGCAACACAACATTGCAAATAAAACTAGATAATTTTCCTAATTGCATCAATAGTTTATAAAGATATAAAAAATAATAGTAATAATGGATATGAAATGCACAGGTTTAAATTAAACCGGAGGAATGAAAAGGAAAAAAATTCAGTTAAAAAGCATTGTGAGCTAAAAGGGAACCTGTGCTTCATATGCACTGCAAAACAATAGGTTCACTGAAATGCCTGACTACCCATGCTGCTTCACTACCCCTCTGTATTCCCTTTGGAAGTGAAGGGAACAATTCCTGTATCAAGTGCCAAGTTTCTCTGTGGCTGGAGCTTACACAGGACTACAGACTCTCTTCCTGCCCAAGTGATTGTAGCAGTGCCTAGCAATTGAACGCTCAAGCACCCAAACATTTATGTTGGAAGGAAGTGAGAGTCACAGGGGGTGATTTACTAACCTAAACACACGCACGCACCAGGTGTGTGTGATTTTCACACAGCAAAACGTATTTATCAACCAAAAAGTCTCTAAAAGCATATTTCCACTAATGCCATATATGGAAAAATCATGCACATGATGCATATATAATGCTGCTTTACAGTTTAGACAAAAATGGTTAGCTCATGCATTTACATTCCTGCATTCATCAACGCAAGCAACATAACATAGAGCTAATTTACACCACATTACCTTGCAATTCATTGCAGGGCTTTGCACAACACACCTGCTGGGTGTGTACATACTACAAAGGTGTTTCGATTCCTCCCATAGATCATGCTGGGAGGGAACACACTACAGAGGTGTATACATGTTCGTGGTGTGTTTAAAAGGTTAGTAAATCAACCCCACAGTCTCCAACTATATCTTCTCACTCTTGGAGGATAAATAGGATGATGGGAGAGTGAAGAGAAGAGTGAATATGCCAGAACAGGGGGTAAACATTAAAGCAAACCTGTTTCTTGCAATGGCAAAGCACAATTAAGCCAAGTTTTTAAACATTTCATACTTTCATGACCAATGGAAAAGTTTCTAAGGCTCTATGCAAATCTGAAAGCACAACAAATTCCTGTGATTTATATAAAAGCCTAAGCAAATAAAAAGGATGATTTAAATTAGGTTTAATGCTACTACATAGCTGAAAAGTATGATGATGGTACACAAAATTACTTCCAAAACCAGACATGCATACACTGAACGAAAACAAAAAAAAACCTTTACAGTACAGAAACACTAGCTGATTAGGGGAAAAAGTCTACAGCAATTTACCTCTTTACTCCTCCATAAGCCATATTGAGCAGATTGTCCAACCTGCAAGACACATTTAGCAGATTGTTCAGTCTTGGCATATACTGCCTCTTTACATGTTAAATTAAGTATCAATACTCAACTCGACGTATTTAAGTCTTAAGACAACTGAACATAAAAAAAAAAAATATTGACATCAGTCTGCTAAGAGATCTTGGATCTTTAGTTTGAACCTTTAAACCCAATAAGCCCCTTATAGCAGTATAAAGCGATTGCAAACCTAAAAGTCTATTTTTAGGTTTTCCCAGCTGCCTCAGTTTGCAGCCAACTAAAAGGACTACAGTACTCAAATATACTTAAAACTGGTGTCCTATTCTACCATAAGTTCTTTTAACAGAAGACCATGTTCTCCGCTTATACGTTTGCTTGTTCTTAGGATTGTACATGGAGGCTTATGAATTCTACAAAAATGCATCTACCCCGTCCCTTAAAAAGTATAACAGATGCATGCAAACCAACATCAGAAACCTCACTCCCAATTGCTTATAGTGTTAAGGTAATAATGTGGTTACTTTACAAAAAACATGAAAGTAGATACAAGTTCTATTTAGTTGCAAATCTTTGCTAAACTTAAGGCAATGGACATAGAGTCTGCTAAGGGAAATCTGCAAAAACGTTTTTCAGGAGGGTACGGTACGGAGTGAATACTGAGAAACCATATGATATGCAATGTTCCTGAAGAAAACTAAAGATACAGGTCAAGTCTGATGGGAGAGGTCAGCTGCTGGCTTTTTATATAGATCAAGTGTCCAGGGTGAGTGCTTAGAATAGTTCTTGACCTACCCCATCTTAAAGTCTCATTCCTCCTCTTAAAACAGGGGGTGTGCCTACTTATTTCACATTCTCCAGCATTAAAAAGTGACTTCCTAATAAAGGCTACAATTAGTGTGCAGAACTGGGAACTGATGGAGAGATTTTAAACCCCTAAGCCCTTGTGAGAAACCATAAGGTTATTCAACTCTCCAGCATCTACCAAAACATGATTAGTTTGAGATGGGGATACTAAATGTTAATCTGTACCCAGACTTTGCACATTAAAGAACTTCCGTCAGAATAAAAATGAACCCTTGCAGTGGGGCTACCCCAACACTGCAAGGGTTAAGTGCTGGTTTTCGTCTATGGTCTAATATGACAAAAATACACTCTCCTGTACTGCCTGACTGCTCCCTGCAGCCCCTCTCTCACTCCACCGAGTCGATGGAATGTCCCTCGGCGTCCTTTAGTCTAATATACTGTATTAGACATGATGACTCACAGATCCTTAAGACTGCTGGAGTGGAGGGGGAGAGGCTGAAGGCACTAGTCTATCACCCAGGCGGGACAGAGGTTTAGGGGAGTATATCTGTTTTTAATTTAGACCCTAGACGAAAACAAGCACTTGGGGTAGCCTCACTGCAAGGGTTAGGTTCTATTCTGCCCGAGGTTCTCCTTTAAGGTATTTACACATTCTAAAACAAGCAGGAAAAAAACAAGGACTTCTAAAAATTCCTCTTCAAAGTTCTCAATTGAGGCAATTAAATCCTCCTATTTTCTCTACAATCTGGGCAAATGTCCACTTTAAATTAACTATGATGTAAGTAAAAACAAAACGAGCATCATGCATATAAAAGCATCATTCACACAAGTAGCAACAAAGAAACTAGCAGAATAGATATATGTAAGGCAAATGCCAATATAATTGCCTATTTTGAGAATATAAGTAAATAACGGCTATTGACTGAAAGGCTGGTTTCATATACCTTTTAGGTTGCCAGCTAAGATCCTTCCATGAAAGCCCATTCAAGCAGAATATAACTTTACCATCAGGCGTCTCAATCGGAAACCAGAATTGTTTTAGGCCAATTTTGTTGACAATCTTGTAATGAAATGTACAACATTTAAAAAAAAATATTTTACAGACATTTGAAGGTTAAGTGCATCGTCACAAAAAGGGATTTTTTTTTCTAATCCACCCTCCCTATATACTTACCTGCATTGTTGTCATCCTGTGGCCAGAATGTTCTTTGCGCTGGCCACAATAAAAGGTGGGTATTTTGGGTTGGGAACCTACTGCTGGGTGCAGACTGGTATTTATAGTTTTCTTTACAGGTCTTTATATAGTGCTGACAATATACACAGCGCTTTACATAACACGTATTGACATCAGTCCCTGCTCTCAAGGTGCTTCCAATCTAAGGTCCCTATCTCCTATGCATACAGGGCCACTTTAGACAGGAGCCAATTCATCTATAGAATGTGGGAAGAAATCAGAGTACCTGGAGAATAAGCACAGGGAGAACATGCAAACTCCTTGCAGATCGTGTTCTGAAAGATATGAACTGGGGACCCCGTGTTTCAAGGCAGAATGCTAACCAATGAACCAGTATGCTGCCCAGTATATAGTTAATGTTTATACATATTCCCTTTAATGCATGCAATGCATTCTCCAAGACAAGGGACTAAAAGCTGAAAAGTGAGTTACACTCTATAATCTGAGAACTGGCCATGCACAGAATTTACAAATACAACCTTTTCCTTTTAACATTAAACAGTGTATTTAATCACCCTCCACTAAAAAAGGCACAGGTCTTTATTTGGGAGAGGCCCCATGCAAATATAAAAGTATTAAGCTATATGAACATCTCTTTTTATCATCCTTACTGGGACAATGTGGAAATGATGGAAAGTGAACAGAGCAGCTAGCCAAATTAAGGTATGTTATTTAACCAAGATGAGTATTACCCAATCTGCCTCAATGCAGACTTTGATATAAAATTCTATGTCCAGTGACCTCCCTATAAAATGTTTAGATTGTGAGTGAGCATGATAAACTATTTTACTGAAAAAGTCACCAATTAAATATAGTGGGGGGAAGAAAATGAAGCCACCACATGCAAATACTAGTAAGCTGCAATATATTACATTTTTGTTCTAAGGATTAGATGCACGTATCTAGGCACATGATCACATTCACTTGTGAAAAGAGAGTCCTATGTGATAGCGACAGGTACTCAATGTAGACAAAAGGGGTTTTATTAGACACATAAGATCTCCAACCAACACAGATTTGGGGCAGAGTACCAAGATTTGACAGCTCTAAACACAGGCTCAAAACTAAGTGGTACCGGGAACATTCAAGCCTTGTGGAGATTTGGGAGTAGTAAGCCAATGGCAGTGGTCCCAGACCCTGAGGAGCAAAGTGAATCCATGGACCGTAAGGGGGAGCAGAAGCAAGTTGTGCAGTGCTTTTATGGCAGGTGACTACCAAAAACATAACAACCAGCATTAAAAAAAAAACTCCTGGAGAGAACAACGTCTATGAGATGAATCAATCATCTGAAAATCGAAAAAAAGCTTTTGCCAAGGGGATTATGCAGGTGATGGGAACAATATTACAAGATCCAGTTCAACTGTATATAACGTTAAATTGCTAATCTTAGTCAAGGAAGGCAATAGTTGAAACTGTCAAGTGTTTTTGCCATCTGTGTCCTTGTAGGCCTAACAGAAAATGGGAAAATATTGACAGTGTGGGAACTCCCATCTTCGTTGTTACCAGAATAAGTTTCCCCATTGGAAGATTTCCCTCTATTCTGTTCTAGTGACCCAAGATTTTGGATATTTTTTCAACTTGTGTCCCAGTATTAATGGTCACCAGGGAAAATCAAGAGTGAAGTTCCCTAGTAGAGACACAGCAGTAAATACCTGACAAGTGTTCTAACCATTCAAAACTAGGAAAAAAGTATCTTGACTTTAGATACACTACAAATTTGGAAACTGGTAAATATAAACACACCCACGTCAGGAAACTAGAGGAACACCATAAAAAGTCCCCATCCATAAACAGGCAACCACAAATTACCGTTAGCCCCAGCACTCACCCCTTGTGCAAGGCTGCAAAGCATAAAATCAAATTGTAAAAATATAATATTTGCCTGCAAGAAACGCCTGTGCTATTTAATACATAGTTACATAGTATTTGAGGTTGAATAAAGACACAGGTCCATCAAATTCAACCTTTGTGTGTCTGTGTAATTGTACATGTGCGTACACAAGTACCTGTACCCCTGTATGTTAGTCTCTGAGGAAGATATCTAATTGATTTTTGAATGATTCAATACTCTCAGCTTGTACCACTGCTTGTGGCAACAAGTTCCAGACTTTAACTGCTCTTACTGAAAAAACAAACAAAGCCCCTACGCCCTTTGTGATTAATTTTTTTTTCCAACCAATTTTAGGTGGTGGCCTCTAGTCCTCGTTATGGAGTTTACTGTAAAAACTTTATTGCTGATGTTGCCATGACCACTTAACATTTTGTACCATCAAAATCATGTCCCCTCTCAATCACCTCACTTCTAGCGTGAACAAGTTTAGATTTAATAACCTTGTCTTATAGCTTAGGTCCTGCAGCCCCTTAATTGTTTTCGTTGCCTTTCTCTGGAACCTTTCCAGCTCCAGGACATCTTTTCTGTGGATTGGTAACCAAAACTGGACCACATACTTCAGTTTTGATCAAAACTGGAGCAAACAGATTCTGGAGCAGTTGCTCATAGCAGCCAATCAGCTTCTTTCTTCAGTTTTTCAGTTAAGATTTGAAAATGAAAGAAGCCGATAGGTTGCCATGCACAACTGCTCTAGATTTTAATAAATTCCCCTCAGGGTCTTTTGCAATAAAAAGCCTTCCTGCTAGCAATTTTCAACTACTTTCAGTACCACTTTTATTTTTATGATGGTCTCTCTTTCTTAATGGCCATTTTCTTGCCATTGTGAGAGCAATATACTAACTCCAACAGTGCAATCTTGTTATAATAATGCTTCTGGTGGTGAAAATAAAATTTGATATGGCTTGGTTTACCACAATAGTCTAAGCTCAGTTTTTAGTGTTTGGCTATAGCTTACTGACCTAATTTTCTTTTGAGGTGGTCATGCAGCCAATATGCATGACTGTCTCTCAACTGCCATTTTTCTTTTCTGTGGCTGCAATCATTTTTATATTTACTTTTTTGCCCATTCAGCATGATTTAACA